TGGATGGCTACTCATCCAAGGTTTATTATTCACTGGATCTGGTAATATTTGTAATTACATTTCTTGATAGTCAGGATTTTCCTATGCGGTTTCTTGATATAACATCTTGTGTTAATGGTTGGGGTTTAGGATAGAACTGTAGGATACCACATTAAAAAAAGCTTTTAAATAAATATTCAAGGTTCCTTAAGCCCTTTTTATCCAACATCACTATCACTGTTAATCAGTTCCTCCCTCCACCCCCTCCCCAAACCACCTGAAGGCAGGATCAGTGGTGATCAAAAGACATGTAGCATTTCTTAGTATTGAAATGATCACCTCTGCGAGATATGGTTTTTAATAATGAGTTTATTGTTGTTGCCTTGTGAATTATGGCTTTTCACTTCTCTTAAACCAAAACAAAACTTATTTGCAAGGTGCCACAGGAATAATTTTTAGACTGAAAAACAAGTGAGTTAGTGATCACAAACTGCTTGCTGCTTTGTGGAAGTGGCATTTGGTTTTTTACTTCTTTGAGGTTTGTTTTTAACCTAAGATGTTGAAAGATAACTTGTTCTTGTATGCTATGGAGCAGTAGTAGCTCCAGGTGGTATAGAAAGCACAGACCAAGATGTCAGGGAAAAAAATTTCAAGTGTTTCAGTCTAATGACATAGACAGCAGGATGGTCACAATCTCTTGAAAGGAAAGAAGCTGGAGACTTTTCACTAATGGGATATAGCAATTACAAAGTATCCTAGCATTTTTCATTCTCCAATTTTATTTTCCCACCGTATATAAGTTATAATTTTTTTGTATTCATTAGTAGGGTATAAAGATAATGCATATTTAACAATCCTTGACAGTGATTCTGAAAGCAAGCTTTTTAATGGTGCAGAGATATACTCCTGGAGCTTATGGTGAAAACTACATTCTGTAGGACAGATGATTTTTCTGTGAGCTCTAAAATTCAAATGATTACTGTTTCATTGTGAAATACTGGAGAATCCCATCCAGGTCTAGGGTGCAGTATCTATTTCAAATATCAAGCTGATATTTCAAATCTCAGGCTGTGATATCAAAAGATGTACTTGAGAGGATCAGTACTTCAGAAATTCTTCAAAAGGACAAGAATTGTAATCCCTTCTGTTGTGCAGCTTCAGATATCAAAACTGCTCTTTACAGCTTCCAGAGGGCTTTGCTGGTACTCATTTACTGTCTTCCTGCACTCTGCTTTCAAAGTTATGCCCTGAGAGAAAAACTTCTCATTTTAAGACCTGGATTTCAAAGTGCTCTAAAATCCACAGGCATCTCCAACATGTTTTGAAAATTGTTACACCTCACTAGGGCCAGAGGCATCATTATCCATGCAGGTCTGAAGTCAGTTGGTCTAACAGGTCTTCAGATAATACCCCTTCCTTTCAACCTTCCTAGGAGAACTGCATTTTATATTCTTGGAAATCCACTGGGATATGGTAATTGTCTTGAAAACTTAGTCATGACAATAACTGGAACATTTCATAGTGTAAATTTGGAGTAATTCTTCCCTCCCTGTGGAAGTGCTTAGCAATTTTTGATTCTTGATTTTTTTATTTTTTTTTTGTAAACAAGTCAGAGAAATCTGAGTGTATGAGACCCATGAAATATGTGTATATTGCAGACTGATCCTAAGCTTAATTCTTCAGCTAACCAAACTGACTATTAAAATTTGATAAACAGCCAGTTGAGAAATATTTAGCATTACTGATGGTTTAGAAAAAGTGAAACGAAATCAAAAATTACTTTTCTGATACTAGAACACAAATAATTTCTCTTGCTGTCAATAAATGCTTTCAATTCCTTCTCAAGTATTGTCTGTTTGATATATGTGATGCTGTACAAGCAAAGGAATAGATATGCCACAAATGTGCCACACAAGTAGTATGTGCTATGTGTGCATATACCTGTTTTTATATAAATGTATATACATACACTTACGCCCACGTGCCCCTTCAAACTCACATACGTATGTCCATGGACACAAATACATACACACACACAAGTGCTTTGTTACTGTAAAATTCTGAAATAACACACCAAAACCATTTTTTCCTGGCTTATTGTGCAATCAGATTTTTAAGGCTTTTAATATGGTGCTTTTTTTTTTCTTTCTGGTAACATTTCCCAGTATTTTCCACGATATAAACTGTGTCCTGCGTGTGTGTGTGCTTGACACTCACTGATTGCTTTGCACACTTGCCTATCAAAATGTGCCTCCAGGTACACTGAGGTTGTCTGAGAGTACCACATTGCCACTACACATATGGGAAATGTGAGAAACTGAGTCATCATGCCAACCTAGCCTTCAGTAAAACAGTGTCAGAGGTGGTACAACAACTTAAGGCTTTCCTGTGTTTCAATTCAGTGCTTCAGTCAATGGCTGATATAGTCTCTGAATTTTGGACAACTTTGTATTATTCCACATTGTATGAATGTGTCAGTTTTTTATTTGAAATTTTTTGGACAATAGCTCATTGTCATCATCATCATCAGATATATGACCCATACAAGTCAACCTAAAGTCTATGAGGATTTTAGTAAATGTTTTCTATATATCCTGTAGAGGCTCTCTCAACAGCAGGAACGTGCAGCTATTGAGATCTGAAGCCTTAACCCTAAAATGAACTTAAAGGTGTTCCCACAGCAAAGGTGGAAATGCCCTAGCAGCAAAAGACTTGAAAGATACTGATTGTCTCTAGTTGACATTCAGTAACAGAAATATATCTTAAGGCAAGATTAAAACATTCATTAAAGAGTGAAAATAAAACATCATTACAAAAAAAATGAGGTTTCCCTCTTACTCTTTAGTAGTTACAAAACATTCTTCTGGTTCTTTAATTGCTGCTTGCACAGGCTCTGTACTGAGTCATTTAGTTTCTGAAAGTAACAACACTGTCCTAGCCTTCTTATTGGCTTTTACTCCTATGCCACCCACATTGAGCTCCAAATCTGGATCCAAGGACTGCTGAGCTATGAAGACTGCATTTGTGTAATTCTGCCAGCAACCACCCATATAACCTCAGAAGAATCAAAGAGAACTGAAGATATGCTGAAACATTCAAAAGCCATATGAACACCAACTACCAGGAGATGCTCACAAGCTTGTATTTTATATACATCCTGTTCGATTTTCTGGTTGGTCTTTTCAGGGTGGAGGAGGATGGGAAGTGGTCAAAGACAACTCTTTTTATTTGGTCATTTAGCAAAGTGGAGGTTTTTTATTCTATCCAACTCATCTCTAGAGGCTGGTAAGCCAAATCTCATCATTGTGCCACACTGCAGGACCAGAGAAGGACAGTTGCTGCAGGATGAGTGTTGCCACGGGATGAAAAAATGTATTTTAATGGAGACAAGGACTAAAAGCTGCTAATAATTATTAGCATGGTTATATTGTTTAGCCATTCCACAGTTGGCTTATTCACTGTCTAGTAATCATCTCTTCCTCGCTGGGTGTCTCCTTGCTGAAGAAAATGAAGAGATTTACCCAGGACCAGCAAGGGATCAAGACAAGATGAGAGTAGCTTCAACATCAGCATCCTCACCTGCCTCTCTTTGCTTCACCCCTCACCCAGGGTGTTCCTGCGTCCAGTTTTGCATGACCTAGAGGAGTTCTGTCTTTAGGCTTGACAAATGAGGCTTTAAGGCTGGAAACAGTGTTTTTCACATCCAGAGTCTGTATTAAGTGTCCTGAGGATGGCATAGGCTCTGTAGTCCCAAAAAGCAGGATCTTCCAGGATGTTGCAAAGTGAGCACACAAATGAATAATACAGTTCACTCCTGAAGTGTATCCAAGTGGATACTGCAGTTCTGTGCATGCAAAGCTCTCTGTTCATCTCTACATATGTATATGGAGAGGGTACATATTTATGCATCAAATATGCAAACAGATCTCTGAATTGAAGACAGGAATGCAGAAAATTATGCAGAAAATTATGTAAAAGGCTCCTCCTAACTTTGTTTAACTGGAAATAGCAGTGATCTGGCACACCTGGGGACAAATGTTCTTCCAGATGTGTTTCTAACCAGGGTGCTTAACTCTCCCACCTTTACTTTCTGAGGCTTCATAAATTTTTTTTAGTATTTAACTGCTCCTCTGTATTTTCTCACTCTTCCAAATTAAACAAAATTAGTTGATTAATTTCAATTTTAAGTAATGAATTTCTCATAATTTTTACTCCCTAACTCCCATGCATGAGCATAAGGCTGCATTGTCTGGGATGATTGGCTGAGTGGAAGATGTTGATTTGCAATAAGGTATCCACTGGAAATTATAAACATAGAAATGTTTCCATGAGCCTTTGGTTTGTTAAAAGAATTGTGTTTAAAGTTGCTATCTTTAGATCCCAGATTGACATCACAGTATCACTTTAAGAAAATAACCCAGGCAGTGAAATGCTTTTTGGAGGGGGAGTGAAGGTTACCAGTGAACATCCTGGCTAGTCAAGACAGTCAGCAGATTTTTGGAGTTTGGAAGGAAGGAAAAAAAAACCCTTAATTCACCCTTTATTATCTAAACAAATATTTTTTAATATTTCAGTGTAAGTATGTTCATAGGAAATGTAATAAAAGTCAAATGAGTGAAGACAATAACTATGAGGACTCCACAGAGTGATTATTACTCAGAATTATTGTGAAATGTCCCCATGGACACAAGGTACACCCACCTGCCAGCATAAAAGGGTTTATATTAGCACTGAACAGGGACATGAGTATCACACTGACTGTTTTCAGGTTGCATCCCAGTTACTGCAGTGTGGAAACCACTAACATACATGACACTTGCAAGAGTCATGGATGGTGTGGTAACATAGGACAGCAGCCCAGAAATCTGCATCTGATTTATGTTTTACTCATTGTTAGATGTCACTATGTTTAACATGACAATTCACATCCCATGAGAGCTCTGTTTATAAAAGTTACACATATCAGAAAAATATGGAAGACATTTCCTTGTTCTTGCTATTTTTTTTTTTTGTCTCAATAGGATGTAGCCTTTCAGAACCAAAACCCTGGATGACACATGCAAACAAGCAGCTTCACAGATGTACACATTCCTATTTGGTCTTGGGTCCTGAACACTGCCAGTCAGGAGTCAAATGCCAATTCTGATGCTCTGAAATGATTTGAGGAGGGAAATCCAGCCCACAGCTGTTCCACTGCTATGCAATGTACAGAAGGAATCATCTGCTGTATATGGTCTGGTGAGAACTTCCTGCAATATTTTGATGGCCAGACCACTTTTATCACAGATTTCTCTTTTATTGCTATGAGGAAAATTTTTAGATCTTTATAATCACAGACTGAACAAGTAAGACATTACCATTTTTTGCTGTTTGTGCTATGCCATCTCTCTTCTCCACATTTTTTCCTTGCAACAGCATCGTGAAAGGTCTATTGAGCAGTAGGGTTGTGACATTAGGATCAAATCCCTTTGTTCACATCCCCCCATCTCCTCTGTAAGGGCTGAAATCTAAGTGACATGCAAAATTGTACAGAGCTTTGGAGCACTCACAGTATGCAAGATGCTGCTCCATAACAAGCACATTCTTGACTCCTGCTAAATCCAATGTGAAATGGTACTAAAGTCTCCATGGAGTATGGTGACCACATTTAATGCATTGTTTGTATTTTCTGCTCTTACTTCCATGCGCAATATTCATTAATTTTGGACAGCCTCTATTTTCTTGTCATCATCTAGAAGCCTGTACAACCATGGACAGGATCTAGTCTATGCTGTATTCCTTAGTTCTGGATTGTTTTGCTTCCATGAACAGAAGCCAAAGACTTCTTTTCCACACAGTTCCTCTTCTGGATGCTGCACTGATGTACTGGCTGTATAACATTTCCAACCTAGTGCCGCTCACTGAGTAATTTGCACAACCTATCCATTTTAGAAAGCAAGCATGATGATTTTCAGAGGAGCCGGTTCTGCTGCACTGCATCATTTAGTTGAGGCAACACAACTAAAAATTACAGGAGCAGAATTGATGGAGGACAAGGGATTTCAAAATTATATACATTTTAAACATAAGAAGTGTGAGCTGGTAGGAAATTTGTTCTCATTGCTTTTGTTAGCATTGGCAGTTTCAGAAACAGTCATGTTTTGATTGCCTCATTTATTTTTAATAACACTATTTGCAAGAGGAATACCATACTCCTGGAGCACCATGCCTTTGGGGTTGATTAGGTATAGTCTTGTGCACAAGTCTTACAGAGATTGCATCGTGTTAAGAGAAAAAATGCACTAATATCAGTGTAGTGCAGAACTGTGTCACTTTAGGGTACATGTATCTCTTTTTTTAATAGGAGAGAAGGCCCTTGTGCATTCTGGATCTTGTTTGTGAGTTTTAGCTGCCTATACTCAGTGTAAGTTGCTTTAACTTTTTTAATTCTGACAGCCACTACTAAGGACAGCAGAGAAACCTTGCATCATCAGAGGATTTGTGTTGTTTGTTTTTCAACTAACTTAAATAACTTTGTGTATTGTTTTTCAACTAACAATAAACAAGTGGCATACAAATAAAATATCTTCTATTTTTTCTGGTTTTCAATCCCTACTGTATTTCTTGAGATATCAATGGGTGTTGTTCTGATTTGTCATCCTGCCTCTCAGAAGAATGTTACCCCCTTTCCTTGCACAGTCGACTCTGGGCTGTTTTGCTGCAGCAGACACTGACAGCCGTCTTCATCAGCCAGTAGATGTCATTGTGTTTCCACTGCAAAAGCACATCAAACATATTCATCTGGCTGCAAATGCCTGTCTGGTCCTGCAGACAATACTGTTGAGTATTTAGGATTGTCTCTACCCTGCAGCAAAATATTTGTTAAAAATGCTTAGCCAGAAAAGAGTGAAAATTAAGTTCCAAGCATTTGATAGCTGTGACTAACTAGCCAGAGTACCCTTGGCTTCAGCTAATGTAGTGCCAATGGTGTTATACAAACACAGCTTACTCAACAGGACACAAATCATTGTTAATAAACTATTACAAAAGATGCCAACAGAAGAAGATAGAAATAATGTCTCATGGATTAGCCAACTTCTTTAGGCAACCAGCTCATTCTGCTGTGAAGTCATCTGTTCTTCAATACTCAGACAGGACTGAGAATTTATACTCCAGAACTTTTTAGACCTTCAGAGTGTAATGAAAAGAGGCTGTAGTCTGTTATTTTTCAGCTATTTTATTTTGGACTATGTTAACAGGTTCCAAATTTACATGATATAATATTTGTGATGTAATTTGCAAGTTTCATTTGAAGTCAAAACTTGGTAGCAATAGAGAAAGAAACACTTGGCAGTAGTACAAGAGGTAGGGTTTTCCAAAAAGTCTGACATATTTTTTTATCAGTAACAACTCAAGAGAAATCATTTACCCATCATCTTGCGACATCCATGTTGCAAACTGGAAATGGCATAGAGGCCTAAATTCCCTGCTGGCAGCAACCAGTGAGGCCCTGCTGGCTCTAACAACACAGGAGACACTTGACAGATTCAGCAGAGAGCTGGCCTTCAGCAGCATGTTTTGAGTCCCAGGGGCCAGTGTGAAATTGAGTGAAGTCAACGGAAATCTTTTGCTTGTTGGCAATGGGCTATGGATGAAGCCATGAATCAGGTTTTCTGGAGGCTGGCGCAGCACATCTGTCTTGGGGTGAGGCAGCTGGAAGGCATAGGCTTGGATCTGAAAGGACAAGCTTCATTTCACAAATGTCTGCTCAGGCTTCACTAGCTCAGGAATAAGCTGAGGTGGCACAAGAGAAACACTGTTCCTCCCTTAGAGTGGCTCATCCTCTTACTTATTCATGGAAACATTTAAAACTCTTCCTGGACTGGGAGACTTTTGCACTGGTAGGTGACTGGTTTGGATTGAGAGGGTCCTTTAAAGATCATCACACCCAAGGCCCTGCCATAGGCAGGGACATCTTTCACTAAATCAGGTTGCCCAAAGCCCCATACAGCTTGACCTTGAATACTTCCAACAGGGACAGTGCCCCCACGGAAAGGGATTTGGGGTACTGGTGACAGCAGGCTGGACATGAGCCAGCCCTGTGCCCTGGTGGCCAAGAAGGCCAGTGGCTCCTGGCCTGTATCAGGAATGGTGTGGCCAGCAGGAGCAAGGGGGTCATTCCCCCCCTGTACTCAGCACCGGTGAGGCTGCACCTGGTGCTGTGTCCAGTTCTGGGCCCTCAGTTCAGCTTGAATGTGTCCAGAGGAGGCAACGAGGCCAGTGAGGGGCTTGGAACACAAACCCTGTGAGGAACGGCTGAGGGAGCTGGGGTTGTTTAGCCTGGAATAAAGGAGACTCGGAGGTGACCTTATCACTCTCTACTCTCTACTTCTTGAGAGGTGGTTGTAGTCAGGTGGGGGTTGGTCTCTTCCATCAGGCAACCACTGGCAGAACAAGAAGACACAGTCTCAAGCTGCATCAAGAGAAGTTTAGGTTAGACATCAGGAAAAAATTCTTCACTGAAAGAGTGATTGGGCACTGGGATCATCTACCCAGGGAGGTGGTGGAGTCACCATCCCTGGGCATGTTTATAAAAAGACTGGACGTGGCACTCAGTGCCATAGTTTAGTTGATGAGATGGTGTTGGTCATAGGTTGGACTTGATGACCTCAAAGGTCTTCTCCAGTCTAGTTCATTCTGGGATTCTATGGGTCACCCACAAGTATGGACGGGAACTGTGGCTGTTCCCACGTTTGGATAGGAGGTGTATGGTATACATACAGAGGTCCTATACATGAGCACCCCTTTGACTGTCTAGACAGCCAAACTCTTGCACTTGCATGAACAGACTGAGGTCCACAGGTACTACAGCAGTGTCCTCTGGGCTGTACAGTGACAGAACATGTTTAAGGATCACAGCAGCCTCACCTGCTGTCTTACAGATAAATTTACCTGCAACTTGAGCTATCCATGGTGCAGAACTAGTCTTTATTAATATTCCAAAGTAGTCTCTTGCAAAAAAAAAAATAAAATTTGTGACTAAACATCGACTTAATAATTCATGGGTCAGGCTACAGGTGGTATACCCATTTCTTACACACCATTCCACATTCCTGTTATACATGCTATGGCTGCTGGTTTTCCAAAGCACATGAAGGAAACTTTGTACTACTCAATTGCGAGCAGTCTCAGGCTTCTGAGCTCCCAGTGCTGTGCCTCCAGACTTTCACATTTACCTGGGATTTCTCATTCGAATAAGATCATTTAGAACTGCCCCTGGTAATTTTTTTGATCTACATCAGCTGATCCATAAATATCAAATAAAAAATATGCAGCACTGTCTTAAATAGTTGCATTCCCAGCTCACTACTTCCTCATCTGATTCGTCACAGTCTTGTTCCCTATCCCATGCATCCAGAGCTTGCTGGAACATTTATCTGAGGATTTAGCTGGCTAAAAACACACCATCAATTTTTCTTCTTTCAGGTGCACATTTTTTCCCATACAACTGACTATGCCATTGCAGTGTGAAGGTGTAAAGGAGAAGAAAAATGTAAAGAATAAAATGTAAAGGAGAGGAAAATAGATCTCTGTTTTTCTATCTGCCTGAGGATATCCTCAGAGAGGTGGAGACAGTGGCAAGATGGATATGGGATCCCAAAATGCTGACTTTAATCTAGACTCCAGTAAGTGTCCTCTGTCTCATTTTTCTATCTAAAACAGTGGAGGTAATGCTATTCATTGTCTTGTTTCACCTAAGCAAAAACATTATCAAGTTTGTTAAGGCATTTCCATACTACAGAAACTAGAAAATTCCCACTTCTGCAGAAGACCATGAAGAAATAACTGATTCTACTTGTTGTACCAAATGCACTAATTGTAAAGATCACTAATTTTAAAATTGCAATAAAAATACTGACCTATCTCACTTCTTAAGCATGCCTTGGATATCCTCGCCAACACAAATGTTCCAATTCATTTTAAAAAAATAGTAGTTGATGATGTAATTAGAGCCTGTGTTAGAACACACTTCCAGAAGGGACATGAATGAAGGCTTTCTGAATATTGCACATTTTGAAAAATCTAATTTTGCTGTATTTGGTTCTGCTGCTATTTAAATATTCTATAACTTTCAATGTAATTGTGCATGAGTTTGCATATATTTTCTTGCTTAGAGCAAATGCAAGTCTGGGAACGTTCAGGTGCAGGTGAAAGTTTTGCAGCAAGGTTCAGGTGTTAAGGAAACTACCCCTGCCTAACCATTCATTCTGAGACTCTCTGCCAGTCACATTCCCAAGACCAGAGACTGGGACTGCTGGGACTGAAGGTCCTTCAGAGAGGGCAGCTCCAGTGTGCCGGCAGGAGGGCCACTTGACTCACTCCACACTCCACTCATACAGTCAGACTAGGTTTCCCTACCTCTAATTTTCCCAGAGCAGAGTCTTAGATGTCTAGTTCCATTTATTCACAGAGCAGTAACACAGAAACTGACAGAGCTGGTGTGTCTGAGGAGCACCCTCAACAAAGGAGTCTTCACCCATCTTCATCTACTTTGACATCCAAAAGGTCGGCAGTTCCCAGCTCCTAAAGTGTCTCTCAGTGTCCATTCACCTTGACCAGACCGGCTGTCACCCATCTTTGTGGCCTTTGTTATCTCAAAGGCTGACAGTCCTTTTGTCTTGTGCTCCCACACAGAGCTCAATCTACATCTCAATCTGCATTTTGCAAACCCAGCTACCTGGATGAGAGGAGTTCTTGACTCAGAGAACCAGGGCCACCAGCCATGGGACCCAGGGATATACCTGATCCTGGGCTGGCTGCACTGCTGGCCTACATGGATGTCACTTCAAGAGCACCTCTGCCATCATAGATTCCCTCTAATCACAGGGGCCTCAGAAAGGCATCTGGCTTAGGCTTGTCACTTGGGATTCCTTTGCACACCCTGACTTGTACAGCCATGAATCTCTAAGACGGAGCACCGAGACTTAAGAAGAGATGTGTTGGAGGTCAGGGGTTCTTCCTTTTTGTTTGTTTTCTGTTATGGTATTTTTCTCCCATTTCCTTTTTTTTTCACCTCTCTGGATAGAACTAGACTCTCCTAAGTTGTTTGTTTTTGTTTCTTTTAATTAAAGCAGTGATGCTAGTTCACAGAATCAGAGAAATATAGAATGGTTTAGGTTGGAAGGGACCTTAAAGATCACCTAGTTCCAACTGCCCTGCCTTGGGCAGAGACACCTTTCACTTCTCCAGCCTCCCTCTGCAGTTGGTACCACCATGGTCCCAGCAAAATCCCATCACATCTTAAGAAGCTGGTCCAACACTGACAGGTCAAACCTTTTTGGTTCCTCCTACTGTCAGGTGGAGGTGTTTCAGTTCCCACCTGGGCACCTTGCTGCCCAGCTCAGGCACCTTCCAAGGAAGCAAAGATGATGGACTGGCTCCTGACTCCTGGTGAGTGCCATGCCCACTTTTGCTGGCCATAACAGCAGTCTGTGAACCCACCAGGCTCTGCATCCTGCAGTTGCAGGGTAGCTTTACCTATAACTTGAATCTCTTGACCATTTGTAAAAGATAGAAAATATAAT